GCCCCATGCCAAGTTGGTGCGTCAAGTATTGGAAGTGTGCGAGCACTGCATAAAAAGGCTCATCGGCTCGCCGTTCCTCAGGCACACTGTAGCTGATTAGCAGAGCGCCAGTATTGCACTGCGTGGCTGCTGAGGCAGACACCGTTTTGTCGTTACCAACATGAATTTTAGATTTAGTAAGAGTATATCGGCACTTGCGACACAGACAGGTCATATAAACGAGCCGAAAATTCGAGGTATAAAGAGAATAAAACACAAAGAAGAGAAGGGGAAGATATAAGAACGATACTAGTTTGAAAGGAAAGGGGGGGGAGGGGGGGGAGAGAGTCCACCACGCCCCGCACATGAAGCCGAATGCTATGGACAAGAAGAGACACGGATATCTTTTTAAAAAATCAGAAAGACAATCGATAAAATCAGACAATAGCGAGGCGCTCTTTTATCCCTTGCCAAAACAGTACAACAAAAACCTTTCACAAAGACCCAACAGGGGTGAAAAAAGGCTGCGTGACTATTTCACAAAAGCACGGTGGATGAGTATCAAACTACAATTTGACATAGCTATATCTACACACATAAACTATGATTAACATTTGGACAACTTGTTTCCTTTGAAACAGGCAAGGAAGAATTTATTTTGTGGGGGAAAAAAGGGGTGGGGGGCACATTTCGAAGCCCGCTTTCAAAAACCATTGAGACACTCAGCTTCAGAACAAAAAGCTACACAAAGAGATAACAGCACAAAAACCACTTGACTGTTGGACCCCGGAGGGTCTTGCTAGACTTGAAAAGATACAACAAACAGCTTCAAAGAAGATGACAACCAGAGAGGACGCACAAAATTTCTGCATAAACGAAAACACAAACATGGAAGAGAGACAAAATCCATACCACAAGACCTCTCTTATTTCTCAGACCATCCCGTGATTTGTATTTGTATCAGTCTCTGAGTTTGTATTTATTTACATATAACATAGTCAAATCTGCTCTAACGACCACCAGCCCAAGACAATCACCTGTTGGATGGACAGGACCAACCATATGCGAGAGTGAGCGATAAGGATGACAGACGATAGACGTCTGGGAGAAAAGAGGGAGGAAACCACACCAGAGCATCCATCAACCATCCACAACATGGGATTGGGGGGGAGGAGGGAGAGAGAGAGAGAGAGA